AAATTATTTTTATAACATTTAAATATTTATAACATAAAATTATTTCTTTAAAATATTTTCTTTATTCTTAAAAATTTTTCTTTAAAGATGTAAAAGCTTTTTTCATCATAAATTTTATTTAAAATAGATATTTTATTATTTTTAACAAACATATAACTTAAAAATATAATATGGCTCTAATTAGGGCCCGGACCTTTTATCAATAAATTCTAGTGTTCCTCTTTATAGAGCCCCAATCGAAGGAGCATCAAATATAGGTATTCCTCCTCATTGGGTCACATGAAGAGGAATATTTATGTTTTTATACTAACAGATGATGTTATATAATCGTGTTCACCTTTATCTTTACTATATTCCCATTATTCTTTCTTACAACCATGGTATTTTTAACTTAAATAACTTTTTTAAAGATCTTGGGTCTATAAATTTCATTCTCTAACACACATCATATACTTATGGCAGGTTACGACAAAAAAATATTTTTATAATTTAAATATTAATAAAATTAATAATTATTTAGAAATAAAAATTCATTAGAAGACATATCATTCTAATAAATTTAAATCATTCTAATGAGTTTTTATCTCTAAATAATCTATGTATTAATTGGTATAGCGAGGTTTTTGTGTTAAACATTAGCAATAAGTTATCAGATAGATAAAAACATTAAATAAATTAATTAATAAACCTTTTTTAATAATTAATTGAACATCATTGTACTTTATCAATAAAAATAATGAGATTTTTATACACTCTAACAAATAAAACTCACATTACTGTCGTATTTCTTCAAATAAGTGGAAGTTTACTGATGTCACAAAGTGTATTTTAAGAAATTCTAGTTGATAGATTTTATAGTTAAAATTTTTTATGAATAAATTTTAATTAATAATAGAAATTAAGTACAAGATGAGTAAAGAGTATTTTAATGAGAAAGATAACAATAAATATGTGTTTGATATAGAGAGCAGCCCTTGTATAAACAGTAAAGAAGACAGCTAATGATCAAAAGAAAGACTTAGTAAACTTTATTATAATCATTCTTTTTGTTTCAGCAATTACAAATAAATGTTTAAATT